CACGGAGCCCTTCATGGAGTCATGCAGCAGTGACAAAATTAGCTGCTCTGCCGTGCCCACTGCCTTGGAAGGTAAGTGAGCTCATTAGAAAGGTCAACTCTGTTAGCAGCAGAGTAGATTGGCTGCCTGGTTTGTCAGTGAGCTCAGAAAAATCCTAGCGTTTCAAAGATGGCAACAAACAACCCACTTTCTGGCACATATAGGCAAGAGGCCTGCAAATTTTGCACTGACCCTGGCACAAAAAATGTTGAGGTAGATTCAATTTAGTCATAAAGAAAGTGTGAGCTGCAGGAGCGCTCAGCCAAACACCTCCACAGCAAGAAGCAAGCTGGAGGAGCTGCTGGGAAGTTGCTGGTTGGGAGATCCACAATGAGCATCTGCTCCCAGGAGATTTGCCACTGCATCACTGCAGCAAGAATCATCCCCGCAGCTCTGGATTCTTTGCAATTGTCTGCTACTTCTGCCCTGTCTATGCTCTCGCTTTTTGCTTTTATTTCCTCCTCTGGTACTCTAGAAACAGATGCTGACCAGTGGGAACGTGCCTGCGACACGCTGCTCATGTGCATCGTGACTGTCCTGAACCATGGCCTGAGGAACGGAGGGGGCGTGGGTGACATTCTGCGGAAGCCATCGAAGGATGTGAGTTTGGAAAGCACGCGGGACCCCTTTTTTTTGCTCTAAGTCCTGCTGCATATACTGCTGTGCAGCTGCCCTCCCTCCCTGGAAACTGTGACACTTCCAGCTCTGTCCCCCACACTGTCCTGCAGTGCTTTCTTCCTCTCTTCCCCATCACGTCCCTGCTATTCCTCCTCACCTGGCACCCGCAGCCCATGGCCCGTGTAACGAGGCAGCACGGGTGGGGTGGCTGGAGGAGAGGAGCGCAAGAGCCACACGTGTGTCCCTTTCATTACAGGAGTCCTTGTTTCCCGCTCGAGTTGTCTATGACCTCCTCTTCTTCTTCATTGTCATTATCATCGTCCTTAACCTCATCTTTGGGGTCATTATTGACACTTTTGCTGATCTGAGGAGCGAGAAGCAGAAGAAGGAAGAGATACTGAAGACCACCTGTTTCATATGTGGTGAGCATTGGGACCTCGGTCTATAGGAGTTGCCCCAAAGCTCTTTCTCTCTTCCAAGGTTGAGGGAAGAAAAGGATTTTGAGCTGGTTTCTGGTTTTCCTTTGGTTCACAGCAAAACTTAAATCTGTTCACTGATGGGTCACTGCAGTGTGAGGAGGCTTAAACAAGGCTACAAACTGAGAGGGGAAATTGTTCCTCGCCTTCTGTAAATGAGGTGTTAAACTAAAACGCCACACTGTGGAGTTCTTGTCGCTGTGCATCTATCACTCCTGAGACCATCACTTAGCCAGTGGAAAAAAAAAAGCACCATATTACTAAGGAAATCAAATACAGAAAATGTTCTGGAATGCTTTCAGTCATAGGAAGGCATCCAAAAAAAGGGAAAAAACCCCAGTAAGTCTAGCTGGTGGGTTTTTTTTTTGTTTTTTTTTTTTTCTTTAAAAGATCCACTGGGTGCATTTTATGCTTTTAGATAAATAAGCAGGAAGCATCGCTAGTAGTACTTTAAATAGAAGCCTCCTGAATACACAACTGGGTTATTTTCCCCATTTTGGGTTCTCATTGTGTGCTAAATGCCAACTAATTATTAAAAGCACTTCTTGAAAGTCACACCTGGGAGAGCATGCAATTATCTGTACTTCCTTTCACATTTGTTTGCTTGCTCACTTCTTACCTTCTCCTCCCCTCCCCATCTCCTGCCTCCACCTTCTCCGTTCTTGACTGCCTTTCCCAGGACTCGAAAGGGACAAGTTTGACAACAAGACGGTGTCCTTTGAGGAGCATATTAAATATGAGCACAACATGTGGAACTACTTGTACTTCATAGTGCTGGTGCGAGTGAAGAACAAGACAGACTACACAGGGCCAGAGAGTTACGTGGCGCAGATGATAAAGGTACATGTCCTCTCAGGGCAGCTCTTTCATTATTGCGACCTGCCTACCCCAGGGAAATATTTGAGAACAATGGACTTGCCAAAGAAAAACAGTTTTGAGAAGGAGCTTCTGGGAAAATATATAATAATGCTCTTGTGCCTTAGTTTGTTCTTAGCTGGTTATTTCCACTTTGCAATCTCAGCCAACAACACACTGTCTATTTGATGTTTTGTACTGTGTATTTAAGGATTGAACCAAGGCAGAACCAAGCAGTAGAGAGTGTGACTTCAAGGTGAGTTCAAGGCAAGAAGGGAGGGAAAGGAAATTTAGAAAAGAAAAACTTCTGAACTTGAGCCCAGAAGGCTGTAAGGAAAAGAAACTGGAAATGGACTATTCATGGAAAATTTGCAAAGATACAGACAGGACGAGCCTTTGAGAATTTCTTTAATCCCTAAGCACAGGCAGGCTTCTTGTGAAATCCTACCAGCTCTCTTCCCTCCTCCTTACCCCCTCTCCAACTCCTATTTTCCATGGTTGCCTTTCCAGAATAAGAACCTTGACTGGTTCCCCCGGATGCGAGCCATGTCCCTGGTCAGCAATGAAGGGGAAGGGGAACAGAATGAGATCCGAAATCTTCAAGACAAACTCAACACCACGATGAAGCTGGTGTCCCATCTCACCTCCCAGCTGAATGAGCTGAAGGAACAGGTACTAAACACTTTTAAAAATAGGAATGCTTGAGGAACACCTGACCCTGGAAACCTGCTGTCCTTACCAGAATAGACACCGATTGCAAGGAACAGGAGGCAGAACCAGCCCAAGCCAGTGCAACTTGAGATACAAAGCAAAGGG